TCTACATAAGTACAATACTATGTCTTTGATGATAAAATACTATGTCTTTGATGATAATATATTATGTCTTTGTGCTAGAACATTGTGTTCATTGGCGAGCGAGCGCAGCGAGCCATGGTTCACGGCGTGAACCACATAGGATTGCGTAGCAATTCTCGGGGGTTGGCGAGCGTTAGCGAGCAGGGGGCGGAGCCTCCTAGTGTATTATATTCATTCACATTTCTTTCTTATTTAATGAAATTCTGAATAAAATTTTATTCCTTTTCTTCAAATCTTTTTCATGCTTATAATAGGTTAATGTTACTTTTATTATTATCATTTATAATAATAGCTGGATATTTTTAATCAATATGCAACTTTGGGACATACTTTACACAGCAAAACATATCCTTTTAGATCTTTGAATTCCCAGTTAAGTATTGTACTAAATTTCCTTTGATACAATATGGTAATCGTTTGCTTAGTATATTTGCTAGATGAATCATTTTGCTGCATCAAATTTGCTTTTACATTAAGACATGATTGAACATTTCGAATATTAAGTGACACGAAAGAATTTAATAGTATCTAAAAAAGCAATTACGAGCTTCATTTAAAAGTTTCTTTTTGCACTGAAAAAAAAGCTCAATACATATTACTGGCAAAAAAATCTTGAGAACAGAAGTGCATCGTGCCACACTTAGTACATAATAAGAAAATCGCAAAAAAACCAACTTCCAAGTAAATTATTTTCAAGTAAATTACTTCCAAGCAAATAACTTGCACAGACTTGTGTTGAAAATATACATTTTATTAGTCAACATCCAATTTCCATCAACCAGTATTATTTAAAAGGCGTTTTCAAACAGCAAGTTGTAGAAGTGGTCTCAGTGAGTTATTATTACATAACAGTATAATCCAAAATTTTTTTTAAATCAAAAATCTGAAATAAGTTTCTTCAAAAATAGTATTTTAAAATAAAGAGTTTTGCTAATTTATAAATTTCGAAAAATTAGTAAAGGAACTTTTTCGAATTCAAATTTATATTTATAATAGTAATTTTGCTTTATTTTGTTAACTGATGAAGTAGTTGTTGAAAATATGATGACAACAACCTATCAATCATTAAAGATACTTTTTATTTTGCTTATTTTTAAACAGTTAATATTTAAAATATTTATTTTTTGAATTTATTATTTAATATTGAGTAACACATATTTTTTAGATAAGCTTCTCTTTTTCCAATTTCATGGAAAATAACTTACTTAAATGATTAACATTTAGGTTTGTTTCATAATCGTTATAAAACTTTATAATTGTTAAGGTACTTCTACAACTTAAGAAATAGGCATTAAGTCGTACATTAAATCAATTTTGAAAAAAATTTAATTGCTTAATTATCAAATCTTTTCAAAATTTAATTAATCAGATTATGCATCGATTATTTGTTTAAAATTTTAAATAAATTAAAGTTCGTTTCATTTCTATTTTATAAAAATTTAGTAGCGATTCAAATAGTTTATCAAATCATATGATTTAACTAAAATATACAGTAAACATACCTATGTAGTTTTCAAAGCATGCTAGAAATCAGTACTATAATTTTCTTTCGTGGTAATTCTATAACAAGACACGGCATTCAAACTATTTTTTTTAACGAATTTAGCAAACAATTTTTATCGGCATTAAAATTAATCGAGTCACCTAGTATCTTTGTTTTTATATCTCAAGACTAGGCGAATATAAATATTTTTTCCAATCGTATCAAACTGAATTCCTATATTAGAATAACAATGAACTATTGTTATCTTCTTAGAGCAAACTAATACCATGACTGTGATATAAAGCATATTATATCTGCATCATAAATATACAGATAAAACATCACAAGCAGAAATTGACAGTCTAGAGTTGCTCAAGATGCCATTTCTTTCTCGTGGTCCTTCGGGCTTTTAACAGTTACTTTGTAGTAGATTTCTTTGGACCTCATCCAGCTGTACGAGTTGTCAAACAGGAGTATATCTGTAAATATTATATAAAAGCTCATTAAACGAATTTCAAATTAAATCAAATTTTAAAATTACACAATACGAAGAAAAAAATTGTGAATTTCTGTATGTTTTTATCATATCTCATCAATTTATCTAACGTATATAATTCTCTTACTTGGCTCCCAAATTTTGGCTGTATTTCTTTTCCGCCGGTGGCAACGTTTGCTTTGTTTTGTTTACGCTACTATTTCTCTTACACGGCGAATCGACCAATGACTGCAGCTAAAAATGTCTCATGCCAAATCTATCTGAGGTGCCCCAACGTATAGCGCTTTTAAAAACGGAAACTGAAATAACCAGAGAGCATCAGCTGCGGCAATCTCATACTATTAAGCTAGGTAGAAGTGAGTAGTCTTTGTCGATAAATCTCTATTTTAGTATTTCGTCGAAAGCGCTTTCTTCACGAATTTATATAATACGAAGTTATTAGACGATTTTTGATTTATATCACGAATTATACTGCAGCATATTTCTAATAGGTTTAACGAATTACATGTCATTTATTTGAATTCAAATTTATTTTAATGACTTAGTATTTACTAAAAAGATGTAATTTTTTTAAAAAAAAAAAAGTTTTTATATGGATTTGAATGATTGTTTTGAATTCTTAGAATTTAGTGCATTTGCAATGTACCTAAGTTAGTAGCGAGCGAAGCGAGCTTGTTTTGCGAGGCAAACCATATAAGATTGCGCAGCAATTTTCGGGGGTTGGCGAGCGTTAGCGAGCAGGGGGCGTAGCCCACTAGTAGGTTATATTACAAAAGCAATGTGCGGGATCATGCGAAAGAAAACTTTGTATTTTGCCTTAGACAAATATTTAAACAATTATAACTATCAATATTATAATTATATCATTTCGAATAAATAAGCACTTTTTATACTCCAAAAAACATGTTATTTCCGAATTATATTTAGTTTGCTAAAATGTTGCGATTAGGGCATTGCGCATAATTATATTTTTCCGTTTGCTTTTCTAATTAATGGAATTAGTTTCAAGAATAAAAACATAAGACAGAGAATATCGCTATCCTTCAATAACAAAAGAGCTTTTCATTTAAGTAATAACTTTTTGTACTCCGATAAAAATATCACATGAGTCTTAAATTCGCTTTGGCATGGATAAGTAACATGATGATGTTATTACTAAATAATATTTTTCTAGTTTTCTTTTTTAGACTTAATACACAGAGAAAAAAATATGATAAAATTACCGAATTGTATGGTAAGAAGATTTCTGGTAAAAAAAAATTAATTTTGGTGATAAAAACCAATATATACGGCATTTAAACCATTTATTTGGTAATTTTTCCGTTCATATGGTAACGGTTTACCAGAAATTCTGGTTTTCAAAATTATAGTTCTTATTATCATGCATTTAACAAAATATACAAAAGTAAAAATTAAATTTAACCGAATAAATGTTTTTTTTAACGTGCTCTAAGGTATCATGATAAAATTATCAAATTTTACCACATTTAACAAGTTCAATCACACGTTATGAAACCTTATTATAGTGTTGATTTTCCAAAATCATGATCAAGGTATTTCAGTAAAAATTTCCGAGAGTTTTGGTGTTCCCATAGAACCAGAAACACGGTAAATTTTCTCATATTCTTGTAACTTCAACCATACATTTTTCTCAGTATAATCTGTGAAAAATAGCATTTTTGATTGAAATATTCTGAGAATAATATCATAATTATACGAAAAATCTATTGTTGACTTCTTAATTTTATATTTCAAATTTCTGGTTCATTCAATTTGCGTACATTATGTAATTTTTCATAGGAAATTGCACAGTTTAAAGTGATGTTGAAACACGTAAAATCTTAAAGTTCAAAATTTTTAGAACATTATAAATTAAATAATTACAAATAATAAACAATTATATAAAAACAGCTTTTTTGCATGGAGATTTCTTTGAAAAAACCAGTCTCATTATGTGCATTTTTAATTGCTTCATAAATCCAGAAATATAACACAGTACGCAAATTTATTATGAATTATTGTGTTCGTAGTACGTGAATTTATCATTGAAGTTCGTAAACATACTCCAAAAAGCTCACCGTTTTAAGTTATTAAAAATATATTTTACAGATCAAGGTTAGTTTTGTCTGTACATTTCGAGACTAAAAAGTTTTAAAACGGGGAAAAAGAGTGTTTTCGAATCTGATTTCATACTTAAATAACCGTCTGTATGAATTAATTAGTAAAGTTAAGATACCCCCTTTATCTTAACTTCTTAATTTCTTTTTATCTTAAATTAGTAACTTTTTTCTTAACCTCTCCTTTGAACTTCTTGTAAGCATTTGAGCATTGTAGCATTTGTAAGCACTGTTGCATTTGAGAACGTAAAAATTAGTGCATTACATAAAAATATCATTCAAGGAATAATTTCAAAATATTCATAATTACATTTCAATATTTTGGAAATCATCACGCTCTTGATCAAATATGGCCATTATCGAAACATGCTGCATTTACCATATTGTTTTATATCTATATTTTTCGACTTAATTATTGAAGCGTAGACCATATGCTGTTCAGCTGTTTTTATTTTTGAGAAAACTAACATTAAAGCTTAAAAATAAATAAATAAATAAATGAAATTCATATATTATAGTAATTTATTTAATCTAAAGTTTCGGGTGGAAGTTAATAAAGTAACAAAATAGACCATTTCATATTTTCTCTGTTTAGAAACTTTTATCTATTTAGAAACGTAGGAACTAAGGGCAAAACTATTTCTTTTTAGAGTGGATAAACTATAAGCCATGTTACTGTGAATATAGACAACTTTATATCTAACTTTAACCCTCTTGCTACATACGCACGATTCCCTCTTTGCACCAAATTCCTTTAGTGCAAATAGGACGATAAAGTAAGATTTTTCCTCGATCCTTGTTTCGAAGTTGATCGTGCTAAACTTCATTTCTAATAAATGTATTTGTATATTTTTATTAATATAAACTTCTTACCTTTGCTTCTCATAAAATAAATCATAATTTAATCTAGATTAATCTTCAAAAGTTTTCTTTTGGAGGATTATTCTACAACTTTCATTTCACATCAAACTTTTCTTTATTTCCTAATTCTACATTGAATTAGAAAAATTCTTTTAAATTTCTTTTTAATTCAACTTTAAAGTATATGTATAGTGCGCAAAATAAAAAAAATGGGACTCACTGAATAACTTTTAATCTAATTATAAGATTTACCTGTTATAGGGCTACAATCAGAAAGATTAAAAGAGGTGACTCGGATATGCTAGTTAATTAATGCAGATATTTTAAGTTACATGCAAAATCAGACACAAAAACGTACTTTTTAAAAATTAGTTTTTCAAAATTCGATTTTTTTTTAAGGAACTATTCGATCAATTTCGTTCAAATTTTGTATTATACCATTCAAAATTGCATTCTTCAAAATGATGTAAAGAATTGTATACCTTGCAATTCTAAAATTTTCAGATTATTATTAAATGAAATAATAAAAAATAATGAAGATTTGCTAAAAGTTATAGTTGGCATGGAATTATTTTGGGATAAACAAGCTTCATAATTGCGTGCAAGATGTTTTCAAATCGCTTAAAAAGTTCTCGAGATATGGAGAAACACGCAAAAAGTAAAAATAACATTAAGAGGTCCAAACTTTGGATCGCTCTCTTGACCAAACTATCGGGGCCACATTTTCTAGATTGCACTTGTCCCCTACTCTTTGAAGGTTAAAAAATTCAAATCCCCCGAAAAAAACTTGTTTATTAAAGAAAAGTACGTTTTTGGGACTGATTTCGTAGCTGAAACTAGTATCTGCATTAATTAATTAGCATATTTGAGATCATCCTTGTGAACCATTAAGCTTGAGTCCTGGAACGTGAAGATCAGATCATTAGATCAAAAGTTATTAAGTGTGATCCGTTTATTTTCTTGCGCACTGTACACTTGAAATATGTAACCGAAATACGCAATTTTTAAACCTATTTTAAAAAAAATATCAAGCACTAAGAGTTTTGAGCCAATACTATTCAAGCGATGATTTTAATATCGGGCATAAATTATTGGGATTAAGAATTACGTTTCTGAATTATTGCAGTGTCATAAGTAATTGGAATAAACAGTTACGTACATGTTCCTGGATTATCGCAACCTCATAAACAATTGGGTTAAACAGTTCCTTACATATTCCGGGATTATCGTAATGCCATAATTTATTGAGATTAAGAATTACGTGCATGTTTCTGGATTATTGAAATGTCATAAGTAATTGGGATAAACAGTTACGACATACACGTTCCTGGATTATCGCAGGCCTTAAATAATTGGGATAAGCAGTTACATGCATGTTCTTGGATTATCGCAATTTCATAAACATTTGAAGTAAATAGTTACATACATGTTCCTGGCTTATCGCACTTGAACATTCCTGTTTCTGAAAAGTTTTCGGTGTCTAAACGCTGCAGGGAAACTATCTCGACGATTTTTTCTTCGTCTCCTGCTTCGAGTTCCTTAAAAAACAGTCCAAAGCCAATGTCTCTTGTCTTTGTTTCAAACTCCCATTCTATCACAGAATTAGCTTCTTTAACATTCAGTTCAATTTCTGAAAAAGCTGCTCTTGGAACGACAAGTTTCTTCGCTTCCTTGCACTTGGCTAATGTGCTTTTTGCTTTGCTCACATGGAATTTAGATGGTATCTGACCTCCATGCCTTATCTAAAAGAAAATCAATTTTTTATAAATATAAGATTTTTGTTGAACTTCAAGTTACCTTACTTTCTTTTTTTAAAAAAAAGTTAAAAAAGGAAAAAAAAAGATATCGTTATGTTAGAAAAGTTACTGTTAGAAAATAACGAGTAAAAGTGCAAGTACTTGAAGCAAAAAATATGAGTAGAAAATAAAAAGTATAGGATTTAAAAATTAAGAAGTAAGAAATATATAAACACTACTACTGTAGCTCTACGTGAAAATCTGAAAATTAGACAAAAAAGTTATTAAAGTTTTAGAGCACAGTATTTATCATTTGTAAGTGATAAGGTAATATACTGCTCTACAACTTTTTTTGTTATCTCTAGTTAGAAAATGGTAGAAGTTTTGATTGACGATTAATTCGAATAGGAAATAAAATGGCGATAGATTTATTTACCAGCAGTCATAAAATGATTGAAACTTAGATTGCCAAGTAGTACTAAGCTGCAGTTAAAATGCGATTGCTTAAACTTTCAGAAATCTTTCAGCTGGCAAATTACATTTTGGTGACAAAATTGTAATCAATTTTGCTTGCAGTAGTCAGAAAGCGATTGAAACTTGCATTATCATCAAGTATAGAGGTCTATTAGAAATTTTAATACACTCGCTGTTTGGGAAATTTTGAGTGTAAAATATTACCGTCTCCCTCACGTGAGTAAGATAGTAAAAGTGTAGCAATACAAAGAATCAGATTTTTTTATATGGTAAAAAATACGAGTATCTGAAGGATTTATCCAAGTGATCCAGTATCCAGTGAAGATCAACCTTAATGATCAACCTTCGTTCGCGGAACCCTTCAAATTCAATCCTTATATTATTCAGAAATTGCCTTAAATTAACGATTGTCTAGGTCAACGATTCTAAATTTTTTTCACCTGTAAAACTTTAAGTGATCAATCTTCGTTCGGACGAATCCTTCAACTTCAATCCTTATATTATACTGGAATTGCCTTACATTAACGATTATCTAGGTCAGCAATTCTAAATGTTTTTCACCTGTAATACCTTAAATGATCAACTTTCGTTCGTCGGAGCCCAGATTTCATAAATTAGGCTCATTTTCTGTTGTAGCTATAAAAACCAAAGCAAGACTACTAATTTTTAAAAAAGACAATTGTGATTTTTTAAACGGATAAAATACTGCATATTATTAGATACTTTATTTTAAAAATCTTTAACAAGAGGATTGTAATTTTTTCACTGTTTTATCACTAATAATCTTAAATTAAATTTTATGTCCGACATTTAAATTCACAGTCCCGGAGTTGAATATAGTCCAGATATGAATTTGTTTTTTGTTGTATATGTATAGACTGTAAATAAATAAAGTAAGCTGAATCATTGTAATCGTTGAAATGAACTCTAAAAAGAAGTTATGTAAACATTGAAAATGGTTACTATGGAAACACGTTTCTTTGCTAACGAATTTAGTTAGGGAAGAGTCGGGTAGCCCCGCCCACTTAAGGAGTATTGCTTATATTTCTGTATAATATTGAGTAATGATCAATATTTTTGTATGTTTCTTTTGTTCTATCATCTAATTAAATAATGCAAAAAGAATAAACCAAAAAAAGGATAGTTCAACTTAAAAAAAATAGAAATTTAAAAAAACATGTTTTTCAGCTCTTTTCAAAATGTGTCGGGTAATCCCGCCCGGTTACAAAAATTATGTTTCTTGACTGTTTTTTCAGGTGTAAATGAAAATGACCAATGTATTGACAATAGATAAACCTCATTTATCATTTTTATCATAAATACTTGAGTATATCAAATACTTGAGTATATCACAAATATTTTATCATAAATACTTGAAACTTTAAAAATAATATTTTTTTTAATATAACAATTAATGTCCGATGGCCCATTGACTTGAAAAAATATTCTATACATAAAATATTATCATAATCCATATTCTTTGAAATTGGCAGTGGGCAGGGGGTAAACGCTGGGCGGGGGTACCCGACACTCCCCTACTTCTTTTTGATTTGAAAATCGCGAGGGGAAAAATACGACAATAAATGCTACTTCTTCCAGTATTTTATTCAATGCATTGTTTAATTTTTCTAATTCAATTCAATAATTTTTTTTCCAAAAATATTTGACATGTCTTGTCTGTTGGCAACTTACTTTAATTTCGTTAAAACATCTCAATTGTTAAGTTAAAAATTGGTTTGATTCAAATATAGTTGTAGGTTTCAAAAATGTTTTAAAAAGAACTGTTTTAAAATAAGTGTCCTAACTCTTGGAACCCCTTCAACTCTTTAACAGAGGTATAGGGTTCCGCTGAAGACCACTTGGGGATCGCTGATCTAAACATTTTTGCAAGCTTCATCTTTGAGTAAGAAGGTTAATTTCAATATTGACTTACGAATGACTTGCAGAGGGGATCACCGTCTGGATCAGTTTTTTTTCCACCCAAAAACGCTGGCAAATCTGAGGCGTCCATGATTTTGAGCAGTGCGGGTTGGTATTCCTCTGAAAAATATCCATTGATTTTATGACTTTTTATTAACAAAATTTCCCATAAAATGTGATTACATTAGCTGGAAAAATGTATAGTCGGATGCATATTGGTTTAATGTTCTTTACGAGTCTACTCATTGTAAATAGAATAGATGTCTCAAGGTTACACGATTTCCCTACTCTTCATACTTTTCTCCTACACGTTACCATAGTTTCGACTGATTTTGCATCCTCCCCCCTCCTTTGTTTCAGTAAGCAGTTAAAATGAGCCCCAGAGGAAGAGTAAAGTTTGATGAATCTAGGATGAGCAATTACATAATGCAAAGGGCAACATAACAAGAATTAAGCATTTAATAGCATCTCTCTATCAACAAATTTCTAAGTTTAATTATTAACTACTTTAGATTTAAAAAAAATGTAGTTTTTAAATATTTATGATAATAATAAAACTAGTTTATTAAGATTTTAATATAATTTGTATTCGTAATTCAGACACATAGAAATTGCAGCATAAGCCACAAGAGCCTTTTTCTGTATTTGCCCCTTTCTATGTGTTATTTCATGTACTGGGATGTTTTCTGCTAATTTGAAATTTTTTAAAATAAATTTAATAAAAAATTCGAAATTCATGTATTTAAAAATAATTTCATTATTGCTTATCGAAGAAGGAAAATTTCCAAGTAATAATATGTTTTACTTCATGCCTTTTCCATGTCATATTTTATATTTTTATTCTAAATTAAACATTTATAATTTTCTTCCTTTTTATATGGGGTATTGAAAAATACCCCATATAGTTTTTCCTCAAAAATTATTAAATAAATATCAAAGGAAAAAGGGTAAAAAAATAATAAAATATATCAAAATGTAACATCAGTTACCACGGAACTATGCTAATAACTGAGAGGGGAAACATTTGAAGAGTGAGGAAATCGCGTAACCCTGAGAGTATAGCAATCATAAAAAGAGGTTTATACAACTTACCTGGTGATCCATACACTTGTATCTTATTTAGGATTGATGCTGCCAAAACAGTTTTGAGGAAGTTAAAGCAAATGGTGAAATAACTTGGAACTACATGGAAATAGAATAAATGGTTAGCATCATTTAAGCTTATTCTTTTAATTTAAGAGAAAATGTTTAATATTTACAATTTGAATATGCAAGAAGCTTTTGAGTTTTGTTTACTGAAAACAATGATTGGCAATAAGTTATGTAATAAGTTTCTATAGTTATAACTATTTGTATATATAGTTAGAAAGCTATGTTATAATTTAAGAAATAAGTTTCATCATTTACAATTTGAGTATAAAAGAATTTTTTGCTTACATTAAAAATTGTAAAATTTACTGCTCAGGAGAATTGAAAACTAAAATGTTCAGAAGAGTAACTTTCAAACCAACAGTTTTTTTAAAATTATACTTATAAGATTAACCATAATGCTAAATGCCCTTTCAAAAGGGGATGGATTTTGCACCGCACAACTTTTTTTTAAATTTTTTATTTTTATAAAATGGTATCTTGTGATAGCCATAATAAAAAATAATAATGTGAAAATTTTTTGAGAAAAATTATTAGTATCTAATATACAGGGTGTTAAAAAAGTTTTCAAAATGTCAAATATCTCGAGAAATGTACATTGAATCGAAAACCTAGGCACATCCAATATTTTTTAAAAGCTCTCTAATGACACCAAACTCGATCTCGGGGAAATTGTTTTGTTCTGTTGCTTAAAATGGTGGTAAAAAAATCGAGACACATAAGATTAGAAAGAAAAATAAATGATTTTGGCATTTTTCTTTAATATAATTAAATTACACTGCTCGCTGCTTGAAGAAAAAATATGATTGTTAATTCCTCTCGATTTTCCTGTGAAACAACTTTCATCATTTTCCTCATCACCAATGGTTTTCTGGAAACTCCTCCCATGTTTATGATTTTTCGGTAAATTTTAATCCATGAATTTGATTTGGAGGAATTATTTTTACCCTTAAAACTTTTTATGGGAGGTAAACTAAGCTCAGCGGCGCGACAGCCTATAGAGTGCCAAGGCCTACAGTGCCCATCTCAGTTTTCCTGATCTTGGACTCTGGGATGCAGGAGCAGATGCTTCGGTCAGGTGGTCAGCCGAACGCGGAACCCCCAGTTTTATAGGAGGCTACTAAAGTGAAAAATTTTAAAACATTGCATTTAAGTATCTGACGTTTTTGAAATTCAATTTATCAGGAACTATTACACCGATTTTGATCAAATTTTGTATTTTGATATGAAAAATTACATTTTTTAAAATGATGCAGCAAATTGTATACCTTAGAATTGAATTTTTCCCCATCATTCTTAAGTAAATAAATAATAAATTATTACTAAAAGTTATTTTTGCATGGAATTATCATTGGATAAAAAATTTTTAAAATTGCGTGTAAATTTTTTTTAACTCGCTGAAGATGTTCACGAAATATTGCGAAATACGCAAAAAGTAAAATTAATATTAAAAGGGTCCAAACTTTGGAGCGTTCTTCTAACCAAACTATTGAGATTATATTTCTCAGATTGCAGCTACCCCCTATATTTTGGGGATCAGGAATCCAAATCCTTCGAAAAAAAAGATATGTTCATTATGAGAAAGTACGTTTTGTTATCTTTTTTTCGCAACTAGAAATATCGTCTGCACTTTTTAATTAGCATATTTAAGGTCACCCTCTCGGGCCATTAAAATTGAGTCCTAGAACGTTAGATGAAAAGTCACTCGGGACTACCAATTTTTTTGTGCACTGTGCAACAAATAATTATCATTTGGATGAGTTTTCTATCTAATCTCACGGCGTAAATGAAATTAATTATAATATTTCTTTCTCCTTCTATGCTGCAATGCCCCAAACTCATACTTTTGGAGGATTTTATGATTTAATGGCAGCCAGAGAGATTTTAAATCATTACTAAAATTCAATAGATGGGAACTTAAGAAAATATCACGGACAACCAGGGACCGATCAAGACAAATTCAGGCCCAAGGCCCACAAAATTTTTCGGGCCCTGAACAAAATATTTTGAAATTAAATTTCTGAAAAGTAGTCCTAACAATAAAAATAATCTATTGAACTGCATGATTCAAGAGAAACATTCTAAACACTTTTGAAAGCAGACAATTGAAGATTATTTTTCTAAGATAGAGTTTACGCATCTAAATATTAAAGCAAAATATAAAACAAGAAAATAATGCTGTATGAAAATAAAAATAGTTTGGTGACCACAAACAATTAAAATCAGTGATTTTTGCTATTAGCTTAATTATTTTAAAGATTGCAGCCTTCCATCTACTGCTTTACATATTTGTTAAGAATAAGCTTTTAGTTCTTGTTGACACTAATCATTCATTTATAAGAGACTTTGCGAATATGCATTCTCGTTGTTTGCTTAAGCAGTTGGAGAATAAATTGCACCGTTTAAAATTCAACTGTACTTTCGAATTTGATTAGTGCAATGTTTGATTACTTTGGTTTGCCACAATATAAAGAAAATTTGAAATAGAAAATGCCTTTTTTCAGATAAACTGTTTCTTTCAGTATTTTTTTTTTGAAAAGTAATATTGTGGACTTTTTAGTAATTTTTGAGGCCCCCCAGAAAGTGTGGGCCCTAGGTCCGTGCCTATTGGGTCTAGGCGATAATCAGGCCCTGCGGACTACTTTTGAAAATAGTTAAAACTGAAATAAATATATTTCCGGGAATGCAAAGTCCCACAACAGCTGCTACATTATAATAGCTTAAATATATGTTGCTTCAAGAAATTCTTTACTAAAACCTTGAAATTCGTTTAATATAATATTTCAGTTTAATTTATATGCTAAAATATGAATATAAAGGAAAAAAAATGTACCAAACGGCTTAAAAAGAAACGTACTTAATCCCTGAAAATTTAAAAACAAAGGCTAGATATCCGATATCAATAAAAAATCACGAAGGAAATTTTACGCTGCGTTTACAAAACTCAGTCGCTTATATAATACCTTTTCTTTAAAAATAATAAATTAATTTTAATTGGTTTCTACTCAATAAAAACGGCTGAAATTTTAATTTTCGTAATAGAGAAAAACCCGTATAGCCTATCATATTTTGAGGATAAGGAAATGATGGAATGTCAATTGAATGGTTTATTTTTAATTTAAATCTGTAATTTAAACTACAACGATTACCTATTTTAAAAGTCTTTTTTTTTAAATTAAAATAATTTTGTTTAGATATTATTAATTAAATTTTCTTCCTATTAACAATTACTTCCTTCCTATTAATCTTCCTATTAACAATTACTTCCTTCCTATTAATCTTCCTATTAACTATTAAAGGCTTTGTTAAATAAATTTTCCAAATAATTTTTATAACTAGATTTTTCTCATAGGTGGCAGCACTGAAATGTTATCTGCTTCATATTTTTTTTACCATATTTTTTAAAATAATTTTGTACGATTTAAGCTATAAGCACTGTTTTTAATTATATTCTTCTTCGCGAGATTTTGTTAACTGCTAAATTAATCTATCTATTTTTAAAAAAATTTTTACTTTTACTACGCCCGGTATGTTTGTTTTCTGCTTTCTTTTATTTCATATTTATTTTCAACAACTGCATTTTTATTTTTCAGCAATTGATACATTATAAAGAGTAATTTTTTTCTTAGGATAATTATTCTTTATTCAGAAATATCGCATTTATTCTAAAGTTGTAAAGGATGTGTCCTGATGAAGACCTCTATGTTTTCTCATTAAAAGTTTTACTATTTTACTTTATTCTTCTTTGTATATATATATATNCCATGATGGACACATATATATATATATAACTCAAGCATTTTTTATTTTCACGAAACTGTGGCTTTCCTCACTTTGACGTTTCGCGCCTATTTCAGAATTAGCATAGCCAGCGCTGGCTTAATACTGGCTAAACTTGACGTAACAATCATGAGTAACTGTTGCAAACTTACAGCTGTTTTAAAAATAGCATATTATTCACAAAAAAGGAAAATAGTATGAAAATAGCATATTATTGACATTCATCATATGATATGTCAACGGAGCCTTAAAAAAACAGCATTAATGGGAAGAAATGATTTATTAACATGTTTACCATTTATCAAAACAACTTGTTTCAGCCTTTCGGGATAATTATCTTGATTCACTTTTGCCACGTTCATTAACTCCGATATAACTGCAAAATAAGAAAAATTAGAAAAAAAAGCGTTTTCAATTTAAAATCAATTAAATACATTAAAACGTATTCGATAAACTATTTCTTATAAATATGCACTGCGCCCTATATAAATTTAAGTTATTGTAAGTTAAGTAAGTTTTAAATTTAGTTGTTGTATTGTATTGGTTAAGTTTAGGTTAAGTTAAGTTTTGCTGATTTTAGGATAAAATATTTCGTCAAATTCAAATTTCCGCCAATCTCGTCACTTCTGACAATTCAAATTTCTGCACATGAAAGTTAGACGCTAGCTGTCAACTGTCAAAAAATTGGCCGGTTACCTACTGATGCACTTATTTTTGACAACACTACACGAGTGAGAACGAAACTTTAAAAAGGCACAGAGAAATTAAATATTTTATTGTTAGTGAAATTTCACAAAAATTTAAAATAATTAAATAAAATAAAATGTGATAGAATGAGAAAAAAAGCATCAAATCTTGCAGTTCCTGAAAAATTACAAATTTTAATACTTACTGTAAGCAAGTTGAATTATCTGATAGTGATGCGAAATTTTCATTACTTAGATAAAAATTAACAGCACACTAGTAATATGTCGTGGTTAGTTTTTTTTAAATAAATGTTTAAAGTTCAAAATATGTAAACGTTCAAAGTTTAGCTCAAGGAATTAAGGAAGTTAAGCAAATTTATAAGCATCTCTGCAAGTTTATAAGCAGTCTATAAGATGCTCTATAAGCAAGTTTAATTTTTTGGTAGTGATGCGAAATTTGCATAGATTAATTAAAAGTTTATGGCACATTAGTAACTTGTTGTGGTTAGTTTTCTTCAAATAAATATGTAGATATTTACAGTTCAAAGTTCAAAAATTTTAAGTGTTCAAAGTTTCGTTCGAGTAAATGTTGTGCTCCGTTTGAAATAATAAAAAAAGAAATTTTTTGTCTAACGTGAAAGGTAACATAAAAGTATTTTTTAAAATCTAAATAAAAAATTCCCAATTTAAAACACTTTCACCTATAGCGTTAAATTTAAATTTTCAATCGATAGGTTATTTTTTGTATCTTAACAAGTTCACGCCGGGGTGACCCACCGGTGGGTCACGCTAGATCAGGGGTTGCCAAACTTTTCTGATCATCGACCCCTACATAATTTTTCGAAATCTCCATCGACCCCCATAAAAGTAATTTTCTGTTAATTAAAATAAAACTCTATTAGATACTGTGTTTGTACATTTATTTTATGATTTTTAAAATTTATTAAAGTAATAGTACATAGTGTGTAACAATGGTTTTATGAAAAATATATTAATGTTGAAATATAAATACCTTAATATTTATGAAATAATAAGTAATTATAAGTAAGTAGAAATAATAAGTAAAGTAACTACGGATTTATTGCTTCTTAATCAATGACATGGGTGTGCCTGGTGTTTTTTTTTTTGTTTTTTTTTTTTTTGTTACAAGGTTCGTTATATTAAGTTCAAAATTGGTCAATTTTAATCTTAAATCCCCTCGAAACTCCCCATTTAATTTATTTCTGTTCTTAATAAAGATTGAATTTACGTGACTGAAACCGGCTTCAACCATATAGGAACTTGGAAATGCTATCATAAATGGCTGAGCTATTTCGTAAAGTTTTACATATTTTTGCATTATATTTATTTTTGTCCAAAATTTGCTTATTGTTTATTTTTTAAGAAGCGTCTTTGCTTCAAATCCCCATAATAATTCTGCTAGCTTATCTTGCAGGTTGATGTCCACGTTTTCAATTTGAGCAGAAAATGGCACAATAATCCAATCAGGGATGTCAATGTTTTCCAAATCAACAAAACGCAGTTTAAAATCGTCGCTCAATTTTTGAAGATTACCCGTATATATTTCCTAGTCTTCTTCTTTTATTTCTAATTGTCACATATCTGAAAAATACTGATAATCCTTCGACCAATCGTCACTTCTGGTTCGGATCGACCCCCATTCGACCCCCTGGCTCAGATCCGACCCAGCTTATGTTAAATAGACCCCTGGGGGTCTATATAGACCACTTTGGCGACATCTGCACTAGATTGTCTCATCGGGCAGCGCACCGGAGTAAAAACTGGTAACAAATAAATTTCATTTCTTAGTTTTTTTCCGGAAATAATAAAAATCCATAACTACCAATTGTTTTTAACGGATGCAATTTTTATATTGAATTGCTTCTTCACCGTGATAAATTTCCTTACAGTGAATTGTTATTGTTGAGAATAGATTAACTCCTCCCGAATATTATCTAATATTGAAATAGTTCTTCTACCAGTATTTTCTCTTTTCCGTCCCGCTTTCAGGCGCAACACCCGGCGTGAAAGTGTTAAATAAAAAAATATTTTTTTAAATTATTGCTTATTTGTAATTAATTGGATTTTGCTAACAATGAAAGTGTTCAAATTTCTTCATAGGTAATGTTTAAGTTTTAAAATCATATGAATTTTTTTTTGGTTTTGCTTGCTATAATTATTAAGTTATTTATTATAAAAAAAAACTATAATTCTTTACTTGAATACTTCCCTGAGTTCAAATGATTCCGGAGACTAAAAGTCTATGAAAGGTTATTTTAAAACTTTTACCCTTCATCTGAAATTTTGAATACAGTCGTTTTGAAAGACAAAATTGGAAAGATTAAACTATAAAATTAGAATAAAAATTCCATTTTTGAGAGTAATAAATTTTAAAGTTTCTACATTTTACAAGCATTTTTCATCCTAAATTATAAAATCAGTAGATTATAAAGTCAGCCGCTTTATGAAATCAAATCTGCAGGCATGGAATCATTACAATGTTAAGACATGTGGAAATGAAGACCAAGTGGTTGGACGGTTTATTACCTGAAAACTGATTCTAAAAAAATATATAAAATAAAGGCAATTTGCACGCAGAGAGGAAGTGTGGTCAGGTAATTACAGAATGGTCATTTCATGGTAAAAATGGATTTATGGTAAAAAGGGATTTTACGGTGAGAATGAATTTTGCGTTAAAATAGATTTTACGGCAAAATGAATTTTACGGATGAAGTACCCAAAATGCCGGTTCTTTATACCGGAATTTCTTACAGTGCATTGTGCAACTCTGGTAAGACGAAAATAAAGTACTACTAAAACAGAACGAGCGTGATTTTAATAACCGATGGGTACTATGTCCTAAACGTAATATTTCCAACTGTAGTTCGTTATAGGGTGATTAAGGGAAAATTTTGTAATTCTTTAGAATTTTTTTTGCACAAATTTACATTTTCAATAATTTAGGTCAGTACAATTAATGTAAAATAGACAAAATATACATTATTTTACAACCACAAAACTAACTATATATATTTAAAAAAAACGTAGCTTGATTTGCAAGTAACATTTTAAGCCCCTTATGCTACCAAAATATTTTTTGTTTTGTTTTATAAGTTAAACATTTGTAAATATAATTATTATTGTGTTTTTATAACAGATGCAATAACATAAGGCAAAGTGTTTTTAATTTGTGTTTAATTTTCTTAGCAAATACTTACGCAATGCAAATTTAAAATGTTAATAACTTACATCTTTTGTCCGTTGCTATAGCAAAGGAAAAGTTTTTCAAATCCATGATGGACACGACGCCTTTTATGTTTCTTCCCAGCTGAAATAAAGGGGTTAAAAAAATTCAAAGCATGCTCGGTTTTTTTTTTTAAAATAGCATTTATATTTACTAAGTTAAGTAGTATAAATAAACATTACAATACCGAATAATGCATCATAAATACTTTATGTGCATTATAAAAATACGCATGTTCGCGTTCATTTTAGGTACTACGCGTCTTTACGTTATGTTGGCGTGATTAACGCTACAAAGACAAAGTTACAAGCGCGCTGTTTATAGCTGTTAAATGCTGTTTTCTGCTCAAGCCGAGCTTCGAACTAAAACCATGGACGTGAAATGCGAATTAGAAGAAATGTATTGATGAAATTTAAAAATGAATCGTATGATCTTACAACCACTGATTCATTCAGTAAAAAATAATTTTATTGGTTTTTGTTAAACATTATTTTTGTCTAATTGCACTAGTTCCATAAGGAACTAGGTATATTTTCGCCATTTCAAAATTATAAATTATATTTATTTTAATTATACGATTGAGTTAAAAAAAAGTTAAATAATCAATCGAATGTCAGTAATATTTTTTTAAATATTATTAATAATAAAAAACTGCATCCTCTATCACTGAATTCATCAAAGTGTTATCTATCAAATTTTTGCTGCCGCAGATCTGTAGGTGGAGCAAAGCGTCTTGAAACGTATGCCGCAGCTTTAAGAAAATAATTTACATTCATTGTAAATGTTTGTTTTGATTTTGAGGTCAAAGTTAAAACGATATTGCACTACGTTAGAGCTTATAATTTATGTTTTTTTTTGTTGCAAAATCACTTATTTTTAATTACGTAAACATTTTACCAGAACTGATGACGCCTGTACACTAGCATGCGCAATTACTTGAAATCTTACAAACGGGAGCGTACGGAAGCTGACATAAATTTGTAAAATCTTCTTCCTTTCAAACCATCTGTTTCTTTAATTAATATAAAATTATTAATATTAGATTTTAGCAAATATTAGTTCTTTGATCAAATCGTCAAATGTCCTTAATTTAAAATCGTCAGTTATTTTTTAATTAAAATAATACAAGAAAAAAATTGAATATACTATAAATGCTATTAAATCTGATTAACCTTATATACTGGTATAAAGTTTAAATAGAATAGCAAGTTCAAAAGAGTGAAACGGGTTTTCTTTTTTAAACTTTATAAGGTGATGCAACTCATTTTTTTTTTTCCAAATTTTTATTTCATTGTTCGGCTTCTTGACACAGTTAAAGTTATTTTATGCAAATGTTGTAAAAATACCTAAAAAGATATTCATGATTTTACAAGATACAGTATTGTTGTAAAATCTATGTTAGATTAAAATCTAAGCACGGTTTTTAATATACTTCAATATTGATAAATAAAATTATTATGACAAAATAACTTCATTATAACTTATCTTTGCTATTACAAAATAACTTTCTCTTTTGTTACAATACTACTGGATTAAATTGCAAATGGTTACATCAAAAGATACATTTTTACAGGTATTAAAATCATTCAAAAATTTGCATTTAGTACACTTTATACAGATTGAGAAAAATCGAATTCTAAACTAATTTTAAATCTAGCAAAGTCTTGTTGGAAAAAATGATATAATATTTTACTGTCACGTTCTATTATTTAACGTTCTTGAAGCTATTAACTTTACTCCATTGCCATTGTAAGTACAAAACATGAATTTACTAGAGAAGAGAACTCATTTCTCTTGTCACACGACGTCCCTTTTTCTCACTCAAAATTGTCTAGGGCGCACATGAGAGAGGGGACTCAGATGTTTAGGACGACGAGTGATGGGGAAATAAAACAGGGAGATTACTCTACTTTTATTACAGCTCTATAATTGTAACTAATGAATATTTAATGGGAAATAAAACAAAAGTTCTGTTTTTTTGTTTTTTTTAGAAGTTAAAATAAATGTTTTAGAACATACGATTATCATGGTTTGTTCTTACTTTGATTGTAATGTTTTTTAATTTTTTATTTTGATTGATACAGGGTTGTTACATTATAAAATAAGAACTCCTCCAGACATTAACCTGGAAGGTGTCGTAGTTGTTTCATCCTCGGGTCCAGGTTTTCATTTTCCCTCCCCTTCGACTCAAAGCCTCATATGATTCTACTGCTTAGCCCGTAAACTAGCTTGGCGCGATTATCGCCGCTTTTACACCAAATGTTTATTGCCGATGAAACTTATAGAATAAAATATATAACGAGGAAGAGCATGACGCTCTTCCTCACATTTGGGTGGTGCGCTTGTAACCTTTTCAGCAATTTCTTGGGGGAAAAAAAGATTACAAGATCATGTACTTACTTTGTTTGAAACTGAAAGGGGAACTAACAGTATTATGTTTTCAACAATCAAGAAGTTAGAGACATGCTTCTTTAAATTTTGTTTTTAAAAATTATATTTTTTAAAATAAAAGTTTGTTTTTTAAAAGAAATTTAATAGGAATTTCTTGTTTTTAAAAATATAAGCATTCTTATTGAAGGAATTTTTATTTTTAATAACATTATTTACAAGTTTAAGGAAATTCTTAATTTCAAAAATCTAAATTGATTTTTTAAAATCATTATTTATTTTTTTTACTGGTTGAAAGGAATTATTATTATTATTTTTTAAATATTGCTTTTTTACTTAAAGAAAATCAAATTTTTATTATTATTTATAAGAAAATTCTTATTTTGTTGAATATTATTTATTTTCAAAAAACATTCTTTTTTAAAAATATTTAATTGTTTTTTAAAAACCTTATTTCTATTTAAAAACATTATTTTCTATATTTAAATTTTTCTTAAAAGAAATTCTTTATTTTAAAATATAATTTATTTTTTAAAACTATTACTTGTTTGGGGGATTTTAATTACATGGTACATTTATAAGTAAAAAATTTTATTTTTTAAATCTTATTTTACTCTATCTGTTAGCGATTTTTCTAGTAAATTTTATTCAAACATTTATTTGATTACATGATTACCTCTTCTAATATTAATTAATATTTAATATTAATATTTTTAAAATATGAATATATATATCTTAATATTTTTAAAAACTCTTATCTTCATTTATATCGAAACACAGCTAAATTAAGTTAATAAATTTTTTAAAAAAATGTGGTTAAATATTTAAACTTTTAATCAAATAGACTTTGAGTTTTCTACACATGGGATGTCAAAAACTGTGCAGTGAATACCTCTTGATCTAAGGGTTATAGAAACATGGTTAAAATTGCAAATATTTTTCAAATTAAGTTAGTATCATATAATAGTTATGATTGCGTGACTTGTTTTATTAAGTTTTTAGAAAAGTAACCTTTTTAAACCTTGTTTTAATGCTTAAACCTAAAATCAGAAAAATGCTCATTAAGTACTTTTATACAATAGTCTGTAAAAAAAGTTTTTTTAAAAAAAAATGGTAAAATTTACCCCAAAAAAGAATTAAAGAAATCTTTTATTACTTTCTCACAAAGAAATAGGAGAAAGAAGTCGTCTGCATAACATTTTAGAAACCACAATAAAAACTTTCTCACTAACATCGTTGCAAACTTAACTGAACTGCAAACTAATGAAAATTAAATTGAACTTCACTAAACTGAATATTTCAATCTTATGATAAGAGCCATGATGGCTCGTGAAAAGAGCGTTCGCCTTCAAATTAAATGAACAGGTTTCAAAAGCGGTAGACGGATCAAGGGTTAGTGTCCCCTTGCCGTCAGCCTAACCATGATATGTTTTCGTGGTTTTCCTCTCCATGTAACACAAATACGGATTAGTTCCATCAAAAAGTCCTCGACGAAGACACATTTCTCCATACACTTGGTTCAGGAGTTCCCTTGTCTTCTGTATGGGGTTCAAAATAACAAGGATACGGAGTTGAAGTGGGACTAAACATATGAAAAATTTAAAATTGAAATATCTAAGAAAGAAAGATTTTTCAATGCAATGGCCTCTTAAATGGATTGCATTATAAAATTTATTCTTATTCGGTTGAAATTATCCAAAGCTATTAGCACTGAAAAATGTATAAATGAAATGCATTGATAGAAAGAAAATAGTTATGATTAATATTTAATTATGTTTACAAAGTTTATCTCGAAGTTGATGGTTGACAGTTAGCAATTTTTCATAAATTTGAAAGAAATAATGAAAATTTTACTTCTATTTACTTTTTTTTTTGTTGAAATAATTAAATAAAACTTTCACTTAATAATATGAAGCATAGTCTTAGAGTGGTGCTACCCTCCCTAAAATGTGCCATTCTTGTTTCCATAGCACCAGACGGCCTCAGACTTAGTGGCGGGAGGAGTTCTTAGCTTAGACAGACTAATTTGTTACATGGTTCTTTTTTTAAATTTTTTTTTTTGGTTTATAAAAGCAAAAACCATACATTTGATAAATAGTTTTACTTTGTTGGAAAAAATCGGGTTGTGTGATACAACTTTTTGATCTACCGGAAAATGGTCGACGATATTTCACAAAAGTACCGTTTTCTTTTCAGAAATAACGGTACTTGTGTAAGAAGCACGTTTTTCTTCAGTTGATTGGGATAAACGTTTTAAGATTGATATTTAGAACGTTTAACACAGCCATCTGAATAATTGCGCATTTTTAATTTAATTAACAGTTTCACTGCTGATAATAGTATTTTTTTCCCCATCAAAATAAAAATTATTATATGTTTTTTAATGTTTTAGTTAATGTATTAAATATATTAATGTAGCAAAAAACAGTGTCACAAATGGTGCTAACGGTCCAATTGTATATTAATAATAATAATCCAAATGAATTACGACTGAAAGTTTCGAAGCACGCTTACCCTTTTATTGCAGTAAATTTAAAAAAAATTAAAAGATTCTAAAAAAAATTAAAGTAAAAAAAATTAAAAGATTCTTATTTATTTATTTTTTAAATTGCATTTGACAAGAAAATAGATTTTGTACCTTTTTGCTTTGATTTTCTATCACTGCAGATTCCTCCTCCATTATTTTAACAAAGTATCTACGAAGCATTGTCAATTTTACTGATAACTGAATTCCTAAAATTTAATGGAAATTTGTTTAATTCTGTTATAAGCACATACTATTTATGTATAGTTTGCAGATTATTAATAATAGTGACAATAAACAGGTATCCTTAAATAACTTTCGGCCTAATGATTAAACTTTTACCCATAATTACCTGTTATGTAGTAAGAAATTCTGAAAGTACTGACTGATGATTAACTTAACAGAAAAATTTAATGGAAATCAGTTCATTTCTGTTATAATAAGCACCTAAAATTATTGTATAGTTAGCAGAATAATATTATTTATAAGAAACAGTTATTCCTGGCTAACTCTTGTCTGTTAGATAAAAAAAAATAACTGTTATTCAAAGTTAACTATTAGCATTGTGAAAGCACTAAATAATGATTGCTGTGTATATCACATAAAATTTAAGAAATAGTGTTATAGAAGGTCCATTTCTTCAGAGATCGTACTAAATATGTGAGTTTAAAAGAATTTCGGCTGTGATTTTGCAAAGTTGGTAATAAAAATAATGCATTAAGCTAAAAAAATATACCTTTCCAGTCTGTATTTCCACTTGCCCAGTATGTCACTGGACACTGGTCTTTGTCGTATCCAATCATACTATAACCAATATAGGGTTCGACTTGTAGAAACTGAAAAAGTGGCGAAGTATAAAAAATTTATTAACATCCGATGTAAAGAAAAGTGCACACAAGAAATCCCCTTTATAACTTTCGATCAAGTTCTTGGATTTTTACGCTCTTAAAAATTCGAGAGACTAGCCTTAAATATTCTAAAATATTTGATAATGAGATATTTTGAGTTACGAAATCAGGCACAAAATCGTATAAACATGATTTTCTTCCTCTGAGTAAACATGACTTTTTTTGATACATTTGGATTCTTGCGACCTTCAAAATTTGAAGGATGGCCACTATCGGGGAGACACCTAATATCGAAGATATCCTAATAATTCCGCCATTCAGCCGTATACATTGTTAGAAGATTTATTCTAAAATGACGGTAAAATAACCGGCAGAAGTCAGTCCAATTACCTGCAAAGTTTACGGTACCGAACATTTTTTACCTTTGCGGTTTTTCAACTAATTACAACTAACATAGTTTCACTACCGTGCAAAAGAAATTTAATTGGACATTGGAGTTAGGCTTTTCATTAGGTAATAGGCATTGGAGTTAGTTCGTTGTTGATTTGTGTTTACCAAATGAATCGTGGAATTTAATTTCATTAATTTATCTTGTTGTTTCACCTACGTAAGAGAAGGAAAATACTAGACTTTTTTTTGTACTGAACAGCTTTATGTTAATCACAGCTTTATGTTTCATTTATTCGTGAATGAGAGCACCGTAATTTTATGGTCCAGAGTCTCACATTTGGAAGTGCTGGACACTCTCTATGTGTCGAAGGAACTGGAGCAAATATTATGGTGTCAACGCTAGGACTCGAACCTCTATTCTGTCGGTCATGAGATTGACAGATTAGCCATCCCGGATATAATATGTACCCAGTTGCAAGTGATTTTATTAGGAAGACCTAGTTGGAGCGATAAATTTCTGGTTGTGTCACTGCATTACACGAAAGCAGTATCTAGACGGTTTTTCTCTCAGTTAACAATTTGAATACCATCCTATTTATGGTCATTTTACTGTTTTGTTTGAATATGCTAAAATAACAATTAAATAAATTGTTACTTAACCATTTTTTCGAGAAATTTCTAGCAGCGCAGGGGATGAAATTTTATGTTTCTTACTATATAAAAACTGTGGTGCAATACCCTTCCGAATTTGGCTTTGAAAAACTGTAAAAATCGTGGGAGCGATCACTTTATTTCACGTTGGTACCGAATTTAGTGTTCTTACATATTTTAAGGGTGTATTTAAATCTATACACCAATAATTGATAAAGTTTACACCGATCTGCAGATAGTTGGTAAAGGGGGTAGTGTTGTTTTGGAGCTCCGTAAATTTGGTGAATAATTATTGTATAATTAAACTATTTACCTATATTCTTGTGTGAAATAATGGTAGAACTTATTTTAAGTGAACATCAAATGCTTTTAGACCATTAATAGAAGTTTAAAGGAGAATAATAGCGCAATTTAAAGATATTCGCAACATAAAAATGCGGACATTTTTATTTAGAAAAAAACTTTTTTTTTGTCTTGCACTTTTTGTTAAAATTTAAAAAAATAATTAATAAAAGTAAGCATATTTTATAAATTATGAATCTAATATTTATAGAATTAAACTATTTAGCAATATTTATTGAAAATGACACCGAGGAGTCATCCCCCCATAAAAGTATGTTTTATTTGACATGTTTCCTTTCCATGTACTAACACTATTGTTGTTGGGGTGATTATTGTAAGGTATAATCATTTGCTAAAAAATTTTGATTTGTGATACAAAAAAAAAAAGAAAAAAGAAAAGGAAAAGAAAAATAAGGAAAACTCCTAGCCTTTAAGTAGATAAGTAGGTAATTAACGTCGCACTAGAGCTGCACTATGGGGTATTTTCGATGGTCTGGGAAACATCCCTGAAGATGATCCGAAGACATACCATCACAATTTTGATCCTTTGCAGAGAGGATGGCTCCCCTGCTTTGGCAGCCCGATGACCTGGGAGCGCTGATCATGGGACTTTGCAGGTAGAACAGTTTAACGAGGACCGATACAGTGCACCCTTGGTCCCTACGCAGACTGATCAAAGTGGACGCCCACCCGCTTACTAACCGCAACAAGTAATGCTTGATTTCGTGTTCTACTGGGAACCGAGTCCTTACGATCAGTCCGCTGACAAGGGAAACTGGGGAAGTGTGACTCGCCAATTTTGAAATAAACTAGTGGGATGTATGCCTTATGAGGAGTAATTTTAGGGGGCAACATTCGTTTCGGCCCGTAGAAGGTCCTACGAGAGATAAAAAATAATTTAATATCTAGAAAAATCGGTATTTTATAACTTCAATGCAGACTATTAGTTATTGTAATTATCTCATACTCCAACTAATCTTGTGGTACTTTCACGTACTATGTAATACATATTTACTGTTGAAATTGATTTCGAAAATTTTATATATCTGTAGTTTTTCAGAAAAACCTGTTAGCTTAATTTTTAAAACGAAAATTGGCATCAATTTTTTAAAAAAATTTTTCAAAAGATTTTCCAATGTAAAACAAGTGAACAGTATATTTATATTTATTACTGTTCACTTGTTTTTATAATGGAAAATTTTTGAAAAAAAAATTTGATGACAATTTTTTTTTTTAAAATTAACCTAACAGGTTTTTTTGAGAAACTACAGATATATAAAATTTTCGAAATCAATTTTGACAATAAATATGTATATTATATAGTACGTGAAAGTATCACAAAATTAATTGGAGTATGAGATAATTACAATAACTAATAGTCTGCATTGCCGATTTTTTTATATATTGAATTATTTATCTCTCATAGGAACTGCTATGGGCCGAAACGGATGTTGCCCCCTAAAATAATTCCTCATAAGGCATACATCCCACTAGTTTATTTCAAAATTGGCGAGTCACTCTTCCCCAGTTTCCCTTGTGAGAGACCCTTTCCCTTAGACTTCTGAAATTTTATGCAATAATTGTGTATAATAATCTAAAGTTACAAGTTTATTGCGATATTTTCTGACATAGTGTGATCAAAAATACTTTTTTTCATTCGTAGTTTATTACCGGTTTTTCAAACTTTTGAGAGTTTTGATTTTTATAGAGAAAAATGAAATATTGCATGATCTCAAATACTCTTATCTTATAAAATAATCCTCTCCGTATTTCTTGAGAAACATATAAAAAGAAAAACGTCAAAAACTGAAAGTGTCTCTTTCATTGTTGTAGGGTTGCGCATTAAGATACATTTAATGACGTGTTAATGAATGGTAGAATCTAGAAAATTTTGAAGCAGAGTTACAAAAATAAAGTATAAATTCTACAGAAATAGAAATGAATAGTACATACCTGTAAGTAATTCTTATCTGAGTCTGGTTTTTCAGTTAAAATAGCATCTGTTTTATAATCTTTTCTCCATTGCAAGTGCTGAAAAATAACATAATTTCTTTTTTCAAAAATAAGTTTACATATTCCAATTTTTTTTTTTGCGTGGCATTTAACAGCTGATCCAGTTCCGAATTTACGACCATCAATGCTCAACTCCGTAGTCTTGTAATTTTGAAACCAACCCAGAAGACAAGCGTACTATTGAATTAAGCCTTGGGACAAGCTATCTAGAGGACTTTCTGATGGAGCTAAGCCGCATTTGCATTACATGGAGAGGAAAACCACGAAAAGTTTTCACTGTTAGCAACAGGATTGTAACACATGATCCTTCTATCACTGAATATATTTTTTACTTCGGCACTGTAATCAGAATTCGTATCAACCAGCTACTGGTGGAATTCGAAACTGGATTAACACATTCGGAGTCAAATGTCTCTATCCCCAGAACCAACGCGATAAGTTTATTTAAGAAAATATTTACTTCTAAACATCAACAAACCCGGGCGCGTTTTAATATACAGGGTGTCTCATTTAAGCGTTTCAGAACTTCTAAGAGGGGTAGGGGGCATCCTGACGACTCGAAATCATATAGCAATGTGGGGTCGGAAATGCTTTCCTGAAGTGGTGACGTACACAGAAGCAACAAAAAGAAAAGAAATCGTAAGTGAAAAATCGCTATAATAATACATTGGAAAAATTATATGGTACATGGGCCAAAGTAAGTGTTCGAAGTTTCTGCGACCGGCTACAATGTACACCTCACATCTCCGGCTCATGGACATTCGAACATTCTGCAATACTCCAGGCATATCTCGCAGGCAGCTACTGCGATTCTTGCAACCAGCATTATCAACAGGGGTGTCATAAACCAGTGTTTTCATATGACTCCAGAAATCAAGACATGATAGGTCGGGTGACCGAGGAGGCCATATAATCTTTTCAATGTATTATTATAGCGATTTTTCACTTACGGTCTCTTTTCTTTTTATTGCTTCTGTGTACGTCACCGCTTCAGGAAAGCATTTCCGACCCCACATTGCTATATGATTTCGAGTCGTCAGGATGCCCCCTACCCCTCTTAGAAGTTCTGAAACGCTTAAATGAGACACCCTGTATAATCAACGGTTTTATTTAAAAGTGTATATCTAATTAGAAAGAAATCCTGCGTCATTTGGGTTCATTTTCTGAAAGAAAGTAACCCAAGAATTACCAAAAATTCTACGTAGTAAGGAATTTTGTGCAGCATGTGCATAAAATAATTGATCTTCATAACTACTATTTTATAATGTATTCAAATTACTAGGCATTACATTCAATGACTAATATTTAATTTCTTCTACTGACCTTTTTCAGCATGATTTCTGCCTGGTCCACATTATAGTCTCGAGCTGTGTTGAAAGAAAGACAAGAATATTTTAAACAAAAATTATAAAGTTAAACTACTAATTACTTTTTGATTTACTTAAAAAACAGTATGAATCATCAACAATAGATGGCAACACTATAAAAGATTCAATATTCTTAAGGTCCTTTCTAGAGAACGTTATACTACTGAATATATTCTGTATATAGTGAAACCTCTTGGGAGCGACTACTCTCTGTTCCACAGTAAAATAGTCGTTAATGAAGGTTGGTCGTTCTTAGGGGTTAACTTCATAGACATGAAAGAATTAACGAAGGTACATGAAGTTTATCTTGCAATATAAATTTTGCTCAGTGTCATTTTCTTGGTGGGGAAACGCCATTTGTGTTGGCGTCATGAAAACTGGATCGATGAATAAAATTTATCGTCAATAAAAATTACCTTTTATCATATAATTATGTGCAAAAACAAATTTGCCTATTGTGAATGATAGAAGTATTTGAAATAAATAAGCAATTATATTCTTTGTCTAGGTTTGAATTTAATTTTATTTCATAAAAATGAGATAACTTTGAAAAATGAGAAGATGTTTGTTTGTTTAAGATGCTAAGTTTTTTTCTAATTTAACTTTTAACTCTGAAAATAAATCATCGATATTATCGTCTTTACTGCATTCTGACTGCAACATTACGTAGTCGATCTCTTTCAGAGATCGTCAACAAACGCTGTCCGAGAGCTACTAACAAATATTTTGATACATTTGAATCCAACTATTTGTTCTGTTAATATTTTTGCGTTTTGATATTTCTTCGTGCTTTCATATATATTATATTTACGTTTAAGGTAACGAAGAATCTCCAGCTCTAATTTAGATCCGAGGATATACTATAAAAAACATTTTAATAAAAGATAACACACGACAGAGTTCATTTACAAGCGAAGTGTTGTAGATATATTCCTATTACATCTTTCGGCAATGCGATATTCATACTTATTCGAAACTTACATTCGGTCGCACTCTATGCTGCTGCTGTTTCTTATGCCTGTTTACGCAGAAGGGTGTGATTGTTCTTGTTTTCCAGTGGCGCCATCTATGGTCAAGAATTCGACTTCTGCCACCCACTCTATGCTCAATTTAGATATTTACTTAGCGTAAACATTAAAAAGTTCAACGAGAGATTTTGCCCTGGTCTTTGTAGCGGGTCGCATATTATAGCGGCTCCATGTGAGGTTAAGGTCTGGTTTCTTAGGACAAGCGCCTTATCTGGGCGTCAGCGGGACGTCAACATCCCACTGACGCCAACAAAATACTGGTTTGTTAGCTCAAGGCTTGGTTTCTTAGAACTAGCGCCTTATCTGGGCGTCAGCGGAAAGTTGACGTAGAGCTGACGCCAAAAAAATACTTTTTTGTTAGCTCAGCGTGAGCAGTCGGTCCAACGCAGACATTATCTCTCATTGCGCATGCCTTAATAACGTAAACAAATATTTATTTTGAATTTGTATTGATTTTGTTATTGTCGACCAGTGTTTTAGAGAACAAATAATGACTTTGTCCAAGAAAAAACACATTATAACTGAGCTAAATGAAGAGTGCTATGTTTAATGAAGAACCTATGTTTAATGTCAAAATCAAAATCTTGGCTGATTTCAATGTGCTGTTGGATGTTGTCCGCCATTGCTTCTGTGGTTAACGTCACGTTGTAATCCAAGTGCAGTTGAGTTGGACGGCAATTGTAGTTCAAGATGAGCGTTCAATGACGTATACTATCAAACTCACAAATGGACCAATCAGAGGTTAACGCTGATTTCCAGCTGACGGCTTCCTGTCCTAAGAAACCAGGCCTTAAGAGTGACCACTAGGAACCTGCATGTCGTCTGCAGTGGCTCTCAAAAGTGCTCGTACACTTATGACTTTCAATGAAATAGGGTCCCATCCATTAATTTTATTTTATATCCGTCGTTGAACAGCCGACCCAATTTTTCGTTTACGACTACTAATGTTCAACTCCGTAGCCTTGTAATTTTGAACCAATTTAGAAGACAAGGAAACTCCTGGATCAGTAACCCCAGAGATATTTTGTTTTATTTTATAACCGTCGTTGAACAGCCGACCCACTTTTATGGGTTTACAACTACTAATGTTCAACTCCGTAGCTTTGCAGCTTTGAACCCAATACAGAAGACAAGGGAACTCTTGGATCGAGTATTGGGAGAAATTTGATTTCGTGGAGGACTTTTCCAATGGAACTAACTTGCATTTGCGTTACATGGTGAGGAAGACCACGATAACCTCCCACGGTTAAACTGACGGCAAGGGGACTCTAATCCATGATCCGTCTACCACTGAAGATATTTCACGTCTGCACTGTGGTCGGTGCAAGCCGGATACGGAATTCGTATCGACTGGGATTCGAACCCGGTTCGCCTCATTGGAAGTCAAATGCTCTATCCCCTGAGCAACCACGGCTCAGACGCAAATGATATTTTATTTTAATTGCTTATAACCGTCATTGAACAGCCAGTTTTAGACACAAATAATATTTAATTTTTTTTATAACCGTCGTTAAATAGCCGGCCTAATTTTGGGTTTAAGACTACTAAGGATCAACTCCGTAGCCTTGTAATTTTAAACCAGTTCCAGAAGACAAGGAAACTTCTGGATCAATATCTCCAGAGGTATTGATTTGTTATGGGAACATGGGTCCTCCATGTACCTCCATGTTCTGCGACTCGACAGATTTAGCGTGCATCAGCCACCATTTAAAACATGGGGAGTCTTCGGCCGACGGAGATCGAACCCACGAACTCTTGGACATGGGTCCAGTGCCCGGCCACCAGGCTCTCCCAGCCCCCCGAAATCAATGCATCCATTTTGAAATATTAATTAAAATGAATGTTTCAAAATGGATACTTAATAATAAGATATATTTTCTGTTCGAAACAAAGCTGCTTGGAATGTTTTCCAAGCAAAGCAAAAGTTTATTTTTAAGAAATCAAGGACCGAAAAGTAACCAATACTCAATATCACTAAAGTCTTCGTCCAGTGTACACTTCTAAAAAATCTCCATCCATTAGTAAACATTCTAATTTTTCATTAAATTAATATTTAGTTAAGTATCATTGGCCATCTACATTAGTTTTTAGAAGAGAAGTCTTTAAATAAATTTACTATTTTTCTTTTAAATTTTTGAATTAAGACTCATCGTATTTTTGACCATCATAGTTTTTAGATAGTTTTTCGTTTTAATGTCATCACATCATCCTCTAACTTCTCTTCAAATATGTTTTTTTTATCGTGTTTAATAATGGAAATTGAAATAGTATGGTTAGAGTTTGTGGTCAATTATCGAGCCACAGTTCTTAGACGAGAGACAAGTTCTTATGACAGTGGTCTTGATATAAAAGAAAATTATTTTTAATACCCTAAATTATAGCTGATAATTGTAAATTTTATCTTAAAATATTGAAATAAACAGGTTAATTCATTATGCCATCAATAAGTATCGAATAATGTATTAGGAGGACCGGAAAAAAATGTCGTTTTGGCGCATTAAATATTTGTTAGTCTTAAAAACCAATCCGTTTTTTTCAATTATTTTCGATCTGGTATTGAATGGTTGTTGCTAACGAGGGAGAATACATTTTTGATAAAAGATAAAACCTTGATAACAAATATCAAATGCACCAAAATGACATTACTTTCCGGTCCCCTTAATGATTTATCCTGATACTGACATGCACCAACACACAAATTGTCCCAATTAAAATCTTGGTTAATGTTCAAATTTTTTCTACTCCATGCAATACATCGAAACTCAATGTGCTAATTTTGCTTTCATCCATCAATAATACATTACAGGTAAGTTTTTATCTATTTTATAACCGTCGTTGAACAGTCGACCCAATTTTATATAGTCGTATTGGGTTTACGACTACTGATGTGGAACTCCGTAGCCTTGTTATTTTGAACCCAATTCAGAAGACAAGGGAACTTCAGAATCAAATATCGGGAGAAATTTTGCATTTGTGGAGGACTTTTTGATGGAACTAACTCGTAGTTGCGTCAAACGGAAAGGAAAAAAACGAAAATCTCCCATGGTCAGCCAGACAGTAAGGGGACTCTAACACATGATGCGCCTACCACTGAGGATATTTCAAGTCTGTACTGTGGTTGGTGTAAGCCGGATGGGGAGTTCGTATCAACCAGCCATCGCTGGGATCAACCAGCCATCGCTGGGCTCAACCTCATCGGAAGGCGAACGCTCTATCTCCTGAGCCATCACGGCTCTGTAAGCACGTTTGGGATTTATTCATGATTGATTTGAAGTGAAGCCTAAGGATTCTATTTATCGTAAAAACATAACACTTTCTGGAGATAGAACGCATTATTAAATCTATCTGCTCTGAGAGCACGTCGAAGAGTTTCATGGGAAATTGAATCAGGATATTTTTTTAATTAAATTCTGCAGAAACTTTTACAATGAAATTTTAATGAATTTCTCTCAAATTTTGTAATTTTAATCTTTGATCACGCTGATCTAAATTCCTTCTTTTACGCGTTTTATCATATGCTGCAAAAAGGAATGGGATAAAATGAAACATTTAAGCATTATTCAATACTGATTTGCAACTATGGTGACCAATAATCAACTTTAGCTCAGGGAAATAGAGCTTTTGCCTTCCAATGAGGTGAACTGGTTCGAATCCCAGCGATGGCTGTTTGACCTGAATTCAGCATGCTGCCTGCACCGACCGCAGTGTTGACATGAAATATCCTCAGTGGTAGGCGGATCACGGTTTAAAATCCCTCTGCCATCACACTAATCTTAGGAGGTTTTCCTCTCTATGTAACGCAAATGCGGGTTAGTTCCCTTAAAAAGTTCTCCATGATAGTAAATTCCTTAAAATTCTTGATCCAGAAGTTCCCTTGTCTTCTGGATTGGGTACGAAATTACTAGGCTACGTAGTTGAATATCAGTAGTCGTAAACTCAAAATTGGGTTGGCTGTTCAACGACGGTTGTAAAATAAAATGAAAATAATAAACTTTTCTGTGTAATCTGTTTTTTTTTATATATCGACTAGGAACAGTTTTTAAATGATAAAAGAAAATATTATGGAATTTTCAAGCAAGCATGAAAATCCAACTTTACAACCATAACTTTGATGTCAAATTGAAAAAACAAATAAATGTATATCTAAATAATTTTAATAAAAGAAATATAAGTAAATAAAAAAATGAAACAATAAGCAACAGCTTTAAATGAATTTATCTGAAAACACTTAAGTGTACGATGATTTTTGAGAGGAAAAATTTTTGTTATTTTTCATTATTAATTTCTCAAAAATAAGCTAATTGTTCATTAACTAATAGTAACTTCGTTTATAAAATATTACATACAGTTTTGTAAAGAATAGATTATAGATATTATTGTTGAATATTCATTTTAACTAAAAATAGAATATTTAGTTTATTTAGTTATGAATAGAGCCCCATTTTTTGTAAACATAAATGTCGGAACACTTTTGGCGAGCCACTGTATATAATAATATTTATAGAAACTTTACATCGTTAGAAAATATTTTACATTTTGCGATTATATTATTATATTATTGCGATCAATAATTTCTTTATTAATAAACTATTGCTTTTTAAGTAATACAATTTACTTCTAAAAGTAATTTATTTAAAATTTATTTTGAAGATATATTCGAATGAACTTTGATATGAAATAAAAATGAAAGCTTTTAAAGGCTTGATATGGCATTCTTACCAACGAGAAATCTGTGAAATAAATTTTTGTCATCTTTCATGGTTGGTTTCATATCTTTTTCTACCCTCGATTTTAACTGAAAGAAAAAATGAGGTTTTAAAATTACTATGTGATTTAGGGAAGTAATAGCTTATGATGAAGAAATTGGCATCAAAATAACTCTGAAAGATAATCATATTACAGTTAAAATTACCTGTACCTTTTACCGTAAAATCCATTTTTACCAGAATATGTTACGGAACCAGAAATCTGATATATCGTAATTTTTGAAGTAATAATTACCGTAAAATCAATAAATATCATTGTAAATATTATGATGTAATATTGTACGGTAAAAATGGATTTTTACGGATGATGCACCAAAAGTGCTAGTAATTCTTTAGTAACTTGATCTAGAATTTTTTACAGTGAAGTTTTAAATAAAGTGTTTCATTTTGTAATAAATATGCAGATATTAGTCACAATGGTATATTGCTACAATATTTGATTCTAAATATTCATATTTCCTTTTAACAAAAAACTAATTTTTTTATTTAAAGGAAATGCAGATATTAATCAACACGATAAATTTAGAAGCAGTTTTTTTTCTAATTAGTCATATTTCTTTCTCTTAAATAAAGATAACTATAAAAATTCCGGTATACTATTTTTCGGTGAAAATGGATTTTTCGGTAAAATAGATTTATACCGTAATTTTATCCGGGATTATAAATGACTAAAAAAATAACATAACAGGAAAAGTCATTTCAGGAATGTCATATCATAACATAAATTTTATTTTCAGGAAAAATCTTTTTGATTATGTACAAGTAAAAACTAAAAATATAAATTATGATAAATATATATTTTATCGAACGTTAGTGTTGTAATTTTAATCGAAATAGTTATTTGAATTAGTTAGATGAAAAATTTTAAGTATAATGATTTAGTTGCACTTTCAAATATGGGGTCAATAAAAAAAAATGTCAGAATTACGGAACCTAATTAAAAATAAACATTTAAATGTTAAAATAATTTTGAAATTGGAATCGGAATTTTAGTTTTTGAAATCATCTGAATTACAGTGAAACAATTACTAATGTTATACACACAGAAAGTCGAGTCGTAGCAGCAACTGTTACTAACTCTAGCGATGAAAGATATAGGAAAAAATAGGTTTTGGTTTCAGTTGAGCAACTAGTTTAGTTCATGTTGAAAAATTATAGAAAAAAACTGTAAAATTGATACATTTTTTAAATTTTTATTACTAGAAGTACACAGCTATACGTTTATGAACGTGCGTAATGCAAACTTGTAACTGAAACATTCTTTTTTCATAACCCTTTGTATGTTAAAATTTCGTTGATATATGAGATCGTATCATTGTTAGTTAAGTCCAGTTGACTTTTCAATACGCTACCAGAAAGCTTTATTTAATTTTTAAAGCAAAATTTTTTTAAAAATTTGAGGTACTTAAGGTATCCAACTGGTTTTGACATAGCTATTTTTCTTTATAAAAATCTGAAATAAAACGTTCATTCAGGGATCCTAAAACTAAAAAATCAAAACAAAGTTTGAAAATTTATAAAGTATTCTTTGAAGTAAGGGCAAATTTGAGCTTAAAAACTATAGATTTTTCTTACCAGGCTGACAGCTCTACAGCAAATTATAATGCATAAATTTCTAAGGATTTTTTTTAATTCCAGATCAGTAATGTGATTATCCGTGTTTAAGACAAATCTTAAAAATTTTTCAAAAACGCAATGTAAACTAAAAACCAAACTCAGTGGCGCAACAGCTCATACAGGGCCAAGGCCTACTGTGCCAACTCAGTTTTCTTGACCTCGGTCTTTGGGGTGCAGGAGCAGATGTTCCGGTCAGGTGGTCAGTCGAACGCGGATCCCCAAGTGTTTAGTTCCCAAGCATGCTTGGTACTCATTTATCGACCCACTGAAGGGATGAAAGGTTGAGTCTACCTTGTCCGGCCCGAGGATCAAACCAGGGACCTGTGGCACGACAGCGCGGAGCGTCAAAAAGGCAACGTAGTAGAGCCAAATATATTGTTTAATTCTGAATTTTTAACAAAAAATTCTAAATATTCTTACTTGAAATTTGATAAAACAATAAATTAGCATTTGGACCTTAATTTAGTTTAGTTTATCATTATACAAAATCTGCGAACAAAATTTAAGAGAATCCTTTATTTAAATTCAATTTGTAACGCTGATTTTAAAGAATAAAGAAATTTTCTCAAAATCAGCATTCGTCAGAGAGTGCATTTAAAATGAAAGAAAATTCTATCAACAAAAAAATTATTTATTGAAAATGAAATTGAATTTTCTTTGTTTAAAAAGCATGATTTATTCAAATAAAAATTTAAAAAAAAGATTAAAATACTCAAACCATAGCTAAAAAAGTTTTCGGTTTCGTTTGTTTGTAGTAAACCACAATTCATTTCAAAAAAATCAGAGAAAGAAATTTAACGGATCTTGGAGAGCCAATGAGAAAAAAAAATTTCAAATACGGATAATAATAATAAAATAATTTTTTTTTGTTGTCGAAATTGCTGATTTTCATTCAGTTGCAGACCTTAAAGTCTATTTTAATATCGCTCGATACTTTAGTTTATATTAATTCTAAATTATTCCATACTTACGATTGTGCGTTGACATGCGATTTAAAAGGAAAATGTTACTTACCTCTGCAATCTTACTCTCAACCTCTGGATCTAGAATTTCTGCGATAGTCATGATATTAGTTTATGGTTTACTTGGTTTTAATTACTAAAAGAAAGAGAAAATCAATCATTATTTTAAATCCTCGATACATAAATTCAGCAACACATTATACGTTAAGTGAAAGAATTTATTAATGGTTGTACAAAATATATAATTTAGATATTGGTATAAAAATATATTCTAATTGTATGTAGTATATCGAAAAGAAACCTACCTCCTATATTTTGAGGGTGAGAAATCCGTATTCATCGGAAAAAAAATTATGTTTATTCAATGAAAGTTTTTGTACCTTTTTGCGTCTGATTTCGTAACTTAAAATACCGTCTGTACAAATTAATTAGCATATTTGAGATCACCCCTTCGAACCAGTAAGTCCTAGAACGTGAATATCCGATCTTTAAATCACAGGTCATTCAGGGTGGTCCGTTAACGAATCTGTTAACGGTGTCCGTCCAAAGAATAAATTTATTCTTTGGCACTCCGCACATAGAACATGTAGAATATCAATATTAGACAGGGAGAGGCTCTTTCCATTATAATGTCCATAAAATGCAACATACATAGCTAGAAAATTTTGAATGCATACTCAATCTAAAGAAAAAGATTGGTTTAATAAACTTTAAATACACTCTATAACAAAAAAATCGACGCACCAAGAAGCAATCATCCGATTGCTTTGAAATTTCGTATGCATGAATGTTTTGAATAGATATGGCTGGAATGATTCCGACTGGGGACGTGTAGTCTTTAGCTACGAATTCCGCTTCCAACTGTGTCCTGACGATCATCGAAGACGTGTTTGGAGACTCACGGGGCAGAGGGGGGATCCTGCCTTCACTATTGCACGCCACACCGACTCTCAACAAGGCATTATGGTGTGGGGTGCCAATTCCTTTGACAGCCAGACTCCTTTGGTCGTCATTAGAGGTACACTTACTGCACAGCGGTACGTCGAAGACATCCTAAGTCCTGCTTTGCTACCGTTCCTTTTGCAGCGCCCTGGGCTGGTTTTTCAGCAGGACAATACCAGACCACATACGGTACGTGCTGCTATGAACTATCTGCAAGCTTGTCAAACTCTTCCTTGGCCTGCCAGATCACCAGATCTCTCTCCCATCGAGCATGTCTGGGATATGATGGGAAGGCGATTGCATCTGGAACGGAATGTGGATGACCTCGTTCGACAATTGGATCGAATTTGGCAGGAAATACGGCAAGAGATGATCCGAGAGCTTTATCGGTCTATGCCAAGCCGTGTGGCATCTTGTATCCAGGCTAGAGGCGAGGCAACACCTTATTGAACTTGTTACTGTAACTCTGCAATAAATTATTCAATTGCTTTGAAATTTTAATCATTTACTATTCTGTACATTGTCTTCCTATCCACCAATTTTCGTTTTAATCGGACAACTCCTTCTTGGTGCGTCGATTTTTTTGTTGTAGAGTGTATTATCTCTAGCAATTAGAATGACTTGCCCTTTATATAATGACTTTTAATATCTTGCTTCTAGCTTAGTAAAAATTGTAAGGACACCTCAAATGTTAAAAAATAAAGTAAAATAAAATGAAACGTAAAAGAATTTCGAGGAAACTTACAGTTCAGTAATAATCATGAGTCGAGCCCAGTACAAATCCTAGCCTACGCCAATAATAAATTTCTTAAGGATATTATTGTGTTTTATGCATTTCATTGTTTATTGTTTGAGTTATTCAAAATATTTGGAGTTGCATATCCGATTATATCTATGAGATACATTTCCCAATACATGTGATTAATTTTTAAACCATTTTAGTTATTAGGTTACCTTAACAATATATTATTGAAAATCTAATTCTTTAAGACCTAACGTTTAAATCTGTTTTAAACGCTAAGAACTACAAATCGAAATTTCACCAAAATCTATTAAATTCGAATAACCACAGATTACCACTTTATAACAATCCTTCACTAAGAAGAAGTTGCCAAAGGTATTATCAAATCGTGTTTATGAGAATGGCTAAGAAACAGTTTTTGTAAAAAGAATTAGCACTATAGCCGCCTTTGGCGACCAATTTAGCCACGTTTCAAAATTATTTTGTGCAACCTATAAACTTTGATGATATTTAAGCCGAATGTGCTGCACAGCTGTATTTAAATATTCTAATTCTTACACCCTTTCTCCAATCCTAACGTCTTAATTAATTTTAAACAATTAATTTTAATTAATTTTATGTTAATTAATTTAATTTTAATTAATTTGTCCAAACCTTTTAACCGTCACTTGCTTGCAGTTTTTTCCTCGCGGAAGTATTTTGATCACAATTTTAGCTACTTTCAAGAGATATCCGAGATATTGTCAAATGTCTTTATATATTGAACTTTATGTTATAATTTAAAATCTGCTTGGAAGCCGTCACACAACCGGTAAGCTTGAGTACGGGATATTTCAGCATAGTAAGCAGCATAAGTATTTTTTAAGCAGCATAAGTATAAGTTTTTTCCACATCTCTGTCTTGAAATAAAATAGAAAACTCATCCCAATACTCTATTAGCAGCTGTAATACTTTTCCACGCGCCTCTCGATTCATAATGTGAGTATCTTTTAATGTATCTACGCAATGTTTCGTAAAAGGCAAGCTCCGACACCAATAATTAGTATGACAACAAGTAGCACCTTATCACAGTTTATATTTAAAATTCCTACAGCCATTTTCGAAAGGATCTCACAAATAAATCTAAATAATTACTTCGTAACTTAAATTTTATTTCTATAAAAATGAAAAAAATATTCTTCCATAACTCAAAATAAAATATTTTTTTTTAAATTTCTTCTACAATTTATTCTAAATATTTCTAATTAAGTTAAATTCTAACGTTAAATTTTACTGCAATATTAAATTCTATTCTAACTAATTTCTATTTAAGTAGTGTTGAAAAAATTTGTTATATTATTATCAAATTAATACTTTATGTATAACTAATTTCTAAGTAGTGTTGAAAAAATTAGTTATACATTAAGTATTAATTTGATTCATTTTGTTAGGTTGTGCTAAGAAATAATTTATGTAGTGTTAAAAAATTAGAATTTATTTAGAAATAGACTAGAATTTAATACTGGAATAGAATTTAATATTGGAATAGAATTTAATGTTAGAATATAATTTTAACAGAAATAATTAGAATAAGTTTTAAAAGAAATTAAAAAAAATATTCTTTCATTATTCATATAAATAAAATATTCATATCAAGTAAAATATTCATATCAAGTGAAATATTCTTTTTTTTTTATTTCTTTTAAAACGTATTCTAATTATTTCTATTCTAATTATAAAAGAAATAAAAAAATATTCTTTCATAATTCAAAATAAAATATTATTTTTTTTATTTCTTTTATAATTTATTCTAATGATTTCTAATTAAATTATATTCTAATATTAAATTCTATTCCAGTATTAAATTCCATTCCAATATTAAATTCTATTCCAATACCAAATTCCAGTCTATTTCTAAATAAATTCGAATTATTTAACACTACCTAACAAAATGAATCAAATTAATACTTAATACATAACTTAGAAATTAGTACTTAAGGTAACTTAACAAAGAGAATATTAACTGAAGTGCTGTCAATATATAGAGAAACATTCAATTTTATGCTACCACATGAGAGAAATGGATATACAGATAAGGTTTTATATCAAATTATAACACAAAACAAAAACAAAACAAAAAGGGCAAAAAAAAAAAATGGAGATTAATGAAAAAAATTTAGAAAAATAATAATAAGTTTTACTTAGCTACAAGTACATGGAACTCAAAAAATAAGTTAAAAATATAAAGAAAACAAAACAAAAAAAAGATTTAAAGATTTTTTGAAGAGAAAGAAAAAATTATTAAAAAATGCATTTAAAAAATGCTCACAAATATAAAAAATTTTGAAATTAAAGGAAATTTTTAAAATAAATAAGGAAACGATATAATCTCTCGTCATCAGCTCACACGATTATATCCGAAAAAATAGTGCTTTCTAATTGTATTCATGTAGCCAAAGCAAAAAATATCAGTACAATAGTGATGAGGAGCACCGAAAAATTTAAACGAAAATAGAGCGTATTAAGCCAAAAATGTGAAATAATATATATGCTTTAATTTCTATACTATATAACTTATTACTATATAACTTTATTCTCACAGAAAAGATTGCATTAATTACTTATAGTACAAAAGTTACTTTGAATTGGAGAATGGATGGAACAGATGAGGAATCTACTTTACCTGTGAGACAACATTAGACAACTGCGAAATTCAATATTTTGCTTTTAATTAAAAAAAACATTCAATCGATAGGGGGAAAAAAACTCTTTAGGAAAGTCCTGAACTCAAATATTTGTGTTTCAGGAAACAATACAAAGCTTACATTCTCTGTGGCCATCGATATTCGTTGCTACGCAAAACACGCAATAACGTAATCACCTTTTTCAACAATTGTGGAAAAAGATATGATCACCCATTTCAGCAATCTATTTATATAATTTTATTGTTAAATACGAAGTAAAGCGATTAGAAATTAAAAATCTGAAAAATCTAAATTTGTTCCATTAATCTATAAATCAGATTTTGCGCAAGGAAGTATGGTCTAGAGGCATGAAATAGAGATAAATGGTTAGACAATGCTCTTGGGACCAAATATCCTTCTATAAACGACTTTTTTGACCTTCCAATCAATGTCAAAGTTGATCTTGTAAGACGTCAGTGGGTAAAATTTGAGGCTCGTAATGTGTGTAATTTTTGAACAAAAGATAGCAGATTTTGTTACCATTTAATTTCTAAAGGAACATTTTTCATAATGTGTGTAATTGCATAGCTTTGTTTTTTAAATTGAGTTTTGATGCAAATTGTCATTTGTCTATGCTATTTTCTATTAGAATAAATGTTTTGAAGTTTTAAATGGGTACAATTCTATTGATAAATTCCCATTATCATAAGCTACCATTTGAAACTGAGTTGTTACGTTTTATTAGATATTTTTGATTTCTTAAAGCTTAGTGATATTTTTTTAATTTGCACCTTAGAAAGAAAAAATAAATCAAACTCTAAGCAAGATCTTCTGTCAGAGTTGGATTTAGGGATTGATTATGGTATTTTAACAATTTTTTGCAACCTTTTGTTTGAATAAAGCAGTTAATTACAGTATTTTTAGAAGAATTTTTGAGCAGTTTCAAATTAGTTTTTGGATTAAAATTGCACTTTAAATATTGATTCATACATGTTATTCAAAACATCGCTAATGTTATACAAATTCTGCAGACAAAATTTCAAAACATACACTTTTTTTGTATTGTGAGTTAGCATTAAGAAATTATCTCAAAACCCATGTTCGTCAGAAAATACTTTTAACATACAAAGGAAAAAAAAATTTTGACACGTAAAAAAAATTGTAAAAAAATATAATAATTTGAAAATAAATTTCGGAAAACCAATTTCATTTGCTTAAAAAAATATTCAAATAAATAAAGGTTAAAATACTCGAAGCATTAGAAAAAGCATTTTAATTTCGTTTATGGGAATTAAGTTTTGGTTTCGTCTGTCAGCATGCGAAAAAATATCTAAAGCTTCATTTTTATAAATTGGAGTTAAAAAATTTAAAGACTTTTTCTTTTTGAAAGTCAATAAACTACAGTCCAAGTATGTATAATAAAAAATAATATATCTAACTTTTCGTCCAAATTACCGATTTTCACCCAACCGTTTACCTAATATATTAAATTATTTTGGCACGAGTAATGAATTTATCTATTTTCGTTAGAAGGTACTCCACGCCTGCAAATTAGTCTTCTACATTTTTGAATATTATTAGTCTTTTATTTAGAGGAGGCGAAAAATGACCTGGTAATTTAATAAATAATCCAAAGAAACTGAAGCGATAAAATATTACTTGATTTAAAAACTTCACTCGCTTCAAAAATATTACAAATTGGGAATGACAGTCGACATGTTCCAAGCGCTCAATAGCAGTCATCCATTTCCAAGACTTGCCAGATGTGAATGAGATTGTTGTGCGTGATTTCCAATTTGAATTTCTTTATTTAAAGTGAATGGAGATTTTAATCAAGTAAGAACAAGGTAATGTCTTACGACATCTGAGAACTGATAATTTTTACGAAGCACTTACAAAACATTGCTACCGGGCATTTTTGTCCCTTTGACATAATGACTTAATTTCCTTTTTAGTAAATATATGAAATAAACAAATTTATTTTGATTCAAATGTCCGGCGGTGGAGAGTCTAAAAGTAGAAGTTTCAATGATATTACAGATAAAAAAATATGACAACATGATTCACTGACAATAAATGACAGATTCCACTAACCAATGAGTTTACAAAATATTTGAGTGTTTCGTAATATGAAAAATGGTGGCAGACTAGTTTAAAACAAAGCAAGCAACTGGTCGTAGAGTAGTGAAAAACAAGAATTTCTTTTTGACTATTCGATGCAAAGTAGCTGCCTCTATTTGTGTTCTGTAACACTTTATTTATAATTACATAAAATTTGATAAACTTAAAAGTCAATAAATGTATTTTTACGCGACAATACAAAGTAGGAATCATTGATTTACGATGCATATAGATACTAGTTCTTGAAATAATAATAGCTTCTAACTCAAGCAATAAAAAAATACGCATAGTGCAGAGAAAATATTACGTCGAATTCGAAATAGGCTTAACAGGGCAGAAGTGATGATTGATTTACGTTATTGATTTACGATGCATATTCATATAAAAATTCTTGAAATAAAAGTAGTTTCTAAATCAAACAATCAAAAATACGCGTAGTGCAGATTAACTATTAAGAAAAATTCGAAATAGGCTTAACAGGGCAGAAGCGGACAGAGTTTATATATTATAAAATTATTTAATATTTATTATATTTATTATATTTATTATATTTTATATTATATTATTTATTAAAAATTATTTAATATTTATATTATTAATAATCACAGAGACTCAAAGATTAAAAAATATATATCCATATTGCACATCTGAGAGCATGCATTCATATTTTTACAGCGAATTTTTGTTTTAGTAAGTCTATAGGAACATTTGAAGACATCAACTTGCTGTCAAAATGTAAACAATTTATGAACGATATCTAAAAAGCGCCAACAGTGGTGTTTTCAGAACTGAAAGTCTTTTTACGCGAGGTCTGAAAGTGCGTGAGATTAGCGTGTACGTTTCCTATTATTTCGAATTATTTACATCCTTTAAATTGCATATCGATATATCTATATCTATCTATCTATCTCTCCATCTATCTCTAGATGTTAGGAATTTATTTCATATTTAAAAACTCTTGATTATTCTTATATAT